GTGTGTGTGTGTGTGTGTGTGTGTGTGTGTGTGTGGTGGGGAGAGACACATGTGCCACTGAATATCTGTGAAGGTCAAAGGACAATTTTGTGGTGTTTTCCCCTTTGACCTTTGTGTAGGTTTCAGGGATTGTATTCATGCCACCAGGTTCGTGTGGCAAGTATCTTTATTCTAGACCTATCTCAATAGCCCCGTTACTCATATGTTTAACTTTACTGGGAGTGGGCTTCTTCCCTCATCCCTGGGTCCAATAGTAAGATTCAGAAATATTGCACAGTTTAGAAGTCTGATGCAATTCGAGATAAACCCTTAAAGAAGTCTGCTAGCTTCTCATCAGAACTCTTGATTATTGGCAGTAGCCCTTGGACTCTGCATAGCTATAACGACCATAAGACAGTGTTCCAGTACATGTTGCTGATGATATCAACAACAGCAGCTAGTCCTTATTACTTCGCATGACCACGTTTCATTGTTTAATCATTGCACTCATGTGTGGATTATTGCACAGCTGTTATTCTTAGAACAACCTTTCTCAATCAGCACATAATTCCATGAGAGTAAATATCAAGCCTGGTTTCCTCCTTTCTGTATTCATATACTTTTGAATTGTTCCTTATACACAATAGGTCTGCAAAATGTATTTCCTAACTTGATAGCATTTAAACACACAAAGAACGGAGGCATAAGGAAACAAGTAAGAAACTTCCTCTGTAAATGTTAAAGCTAGGATTTGAACCCAGTTGATTTCAGAGGCACACTTTCTTCTTCCTAAAGGACAGCATAGGGAATGTGCCTGTGTTGTATCCAGACAGAATCTTACTTCCATTTGCTGGCCTTGAGCCTGTCATATGTGGCTCCTAGCTAAGTCTACTTTTTCTTCTATATTTAGAACAATAACAAAACAAGACAATAGCAACAACAGCAAGGGGAAAAAAGACATTTGAAACAGTTTCAAACTCAAGTTGGAAGCATGCTAAAAGAGCAGTGGTTCTCAACCTTCCCAATGCTGCAACTCTTTAATACAGTTCCTAATGTGGTGACTCCCAACCACAAAATTATTTTTACTACTACTTCATAGCTGTAATTTTGCTACTGCTATAAATTGTAATGTAAATATCTGTATTTTCAGCTGGTGGTGGCGCACGCCTTTAATCCCAGCAGGTGGAAGGCAGAGGCAGGCAGATCTCTGAGTTCGAGACCAGCCTGGTCTACAAGAGCTAGTTCCAGGACGGCCTCCAAAGCTACAGAGAAACCCTGTCTCAAAAGACAAAACAAAACAATCTGTATTTTCCAATGGTCTCAGGTGACCCCTGTGAAAGGATTATTCAATACATCTTAAAAAAGGGGTGGCAGCTCATAGGTTGAGAACTGCTGGTACAGAGAATTTCTCCAATCATCTGAGAGTAACTAATAGGATAGTTCCTCGCTCTTTCATACTTTTATACTTCCTTCAAATAAGAACATTCTTTTATAGAACCACAATGTAAACATTGTAACCATCAAACTCAGAAGATTGATAGTGATATAGTAGTATTGAATCCTTAGAGTTCACTGATTTGTTGTTTTGTTTTGATATGCTTTTTGAGACAGAGGTTCTTTTGTAGCCATGGCTGTCCTAGAATTTCCTCTGTAGACCAGGCTGATCTCGAACTCACAGAGATATACTTGCCTCTGTCTCCTGAGTGCTGGAATTAAAGGCACCACCATCCCCTGGATAATCCACTCAATTTTTGCCACTTGTCCCAACAATATAATTTATATCAAAATATCCAAGCCAGATTCATATGTGGCACTTAGTTATGTTTTCCAGTCTCCTTCAGTATATATTGATTCTTCAGTCTTTTCATCTATTTTATGACCTTGACATTTGAAGATGATGGGAAATGTTATTGAATATCCCTGAATAAAGTTGTGTTTATCCTCTCTTGTTGACAGAACCACTAACTTGTCTCTTTGTCATGCTTCAAATTTACTTAATTTCAGGTATAAAGTCTTATACTAGGCCTTCTCCAGGCAACTCTGGTGTCTTTCAGTGAAAAACGATACTTAGAAACTAAGATGTAGGGCCAATGAGATATGGCTGGGTAGAATTACTGGCTGCTGTGAGAGCCTGAGTTTGGTCCCCAGGATGCACAAGAGAGAACTAACGCCTGCAAGTGGTCCTCAGACTAACATATACACTGTGGCATGTGTATACACACACACATTAAATAACTAATATATAAATGTAAAAACAACAAACAAATAACAAACCTCAAATATAGGTACCTTCTGAAGCTATTTCTTTTCTTAGCTTTTTTAAGATTTAACATTCTAATCTGACAATTACCGGGCCCCCTTATACCTCAAAGATCTACCTTGGCTCCACCTAATAGCTTTTGTACCAATTTATTTAGGAGGGGGAAAAGAAAGAGGGTTTTTTTTTTGTTTGTTTTAACTTTAGACCTTGCTAAACATTTCCTAATCATAGAAATAATGCCTTTGACCTGCTCACTATGATGATCTTAATAGCTCTCTTGCACAGTATTTTGTTCATTCTACCAATTGATATCCGAAATCATGAGCTTGATGAGTTATTTAATGTTTTTCTAATATTAAAGTATCAAAATGCTAGCACTAAGAGATTTGTCCGTCTGCCCTCTGATATTCCCTTGGACTACCTACCAGTGGTACATTGTCTACTTCCTGAAGAGCACTTCTTAGACCTGCAGACTCCAGGCCTGTTTGAGTAACACTGACAGAGCCTGTCTCCCTCCTCAGGCAGGAACTGTACTCAAGGACATAGTCCAGTCTCTCAGCATGGCCTGGTGTACTCAAGACCCCACCCTAGCTTTTGAGAGAGCCTTTCTGGCAGTGTCAGTGAAACTTCTTGAATGTGTGGTCCGTAAGGCTCCTGAAATGGCAAGACAGGTGGCTCGCCGCATGACGGGCATGATCAATGGGAACATGGCCATCCGAGAATTTATCCAGGACCAGGGAGGATGGGTAAGTTTTTGTTATGCCTCATCCATACTTTGCTAGGCATCTGTGCTGTTTTGGTTTTAATAACTGGAACTCTTAATTATTAACCTTTCTGTAAGTTGTCATGGAAAAAGGAAATAAAAGCTCAGCCTGTGGGGGTTGGACAACGCTGCCTGAAATGTTGACCACTGGCTGTAAAGCTAATCTCTACCATATATTATCAGCTATAAAGGATATTGATGGTGGAGTTCTAAACTCAGCCTGGCTTTACGCTGCTTCCTGGTACATTTCTAAGTCTTTGTTCCTGAACATCTTTAATATGTGTTGAGGAAAGGTAGAATAATCTTGTGTGTGTGCGTGTGTATGTGCATGTTGTATGTATGTGATATGTGTATGTATGCTCCTGAGTTCAGGCATGTGCACGCCACAGCTCATATGTGGAGATCAGAGAACAACCTTGGATGCCACTCAGTTTGTGCCTTTCACTGTGTTTAATACAAGGTCTCTTTTAGTTCTGTTGCATCTGCCAGGTTAGCTGGTCCATGAGTGTCTGGAATTCTGTCTCTGCCACCCACCTTGCTGTAGAAGCACTGGGATTACAAGTGCATACTACCATATCCATCTTTACATGTGCTCTGGGGATTTGAACTCAGATCCTCATGTTGTGCTCATGGTAAGCACTTTACCAACAGAGACATTTTCCTAGCCCCAGCACCCAGAATAAATCTCAACATTACCTAGGAAAACCAAGTTTGTGGAACAGTGTCTTTCAGACACAACAGGACTCACAGAGACTGAGGCAGCCTGCATGGCTTGAAGCCAAGTGTAATTCCAGCCCAGAGACAGGGAAGTGAACACATGCTCCCACCCCCAACCAAGAAGCCAGACACAATGGATACCTGCTGGCAAAGTAAAATTTAGTTTAGTTTTTTTTTTTTTTTTCTGATGGAGTCTCACTGAATCTATTAACCATACTGCAGGATAGGCCCCATGCCCAGGAATAGTTGTCCAATACAAAACAAACTCTATGGAATTTTGTAAACTTTATGTCTCATTTTGCTTTGTTTGGGAATTTGGTTCTCTTATTGGTCTTTTATATATTTTGATTCCTATTTTTGTGTGTGTTTGTGTGTTTCTTGCTTTTTTTTTTTTTAAAGAGAGAGAGAAAGAACTTAAAGTTGGGAGGGTAGGGATCTGTGGAGCACCTGGGATGAATTGGGGAAAGGAAAACATGATCAAAATACATTGTAAACCAGTTTGTCTTATCTACAGTTGACTATAGGGGACAGTCTGTCTGTCTGTCTGTCTGTCTGTTTTTTCCAGACAGGGTTTTCCATGTAGCCCTGGCTGTTATGGAACTTGTTTTGTAGACCAAGCTGGCCTTGAACTCAGAGATCCACCTGCCTCTGCACCCCCTCCCCTTGCCCCAAGTGCTGGAATTAAAGGCATGCACCATCACCACCAGGCACCTTTATTTAAAAAATAGTTGTTTTTAAATTGAAAATAGATTTTTTTCATATACTATATTCTGATTCTGGTTTCTCCTCTCCCAACTCTTCTAAGATTTCTGCACCTCCCCATCCACCCACTCAAATCCACGTCCTTTCTTGTCCTCTCTCACTAGAAAGCAAACACTGAGCCTATATCTTAATAATCCATAGAGTTTCCACTAATTTTGAGTACTTCTTTCTATTTCTGGGATCAGTAGAAGAAGTTGTAGTAAAAGATGTAGTTAACCCTGGCGTTTCAGGTACTTCCCTGGATTCCTAGACAGTTCCTAAGGACCGTCTTTTTGACTAAGATTCTCACTGTTCTTCCTAGGAGAACTTGGAGAGCTGAAGAAATGGGCTTGTTCCCAGACTGAACATCACTTCCTATGATGTCTGACAATTAAAACATGCTTTCTTCAACTTACCCAGTGTTACGTTTTTACTGATTGCAGACTTTGGGAGCAGCCCTAGCCACCTACAGTGACATTGTACTTGATGTTCTTACCTGAGTTTAAATAAGAGTTTGTTGAAACAATGACCTCCTGACAAAGTAATTTCTTACTAGTGAAATTTCAAGTACTAAGGTGTACCTTTGCTGGAGATCTTTTGAAGGAGACAGCACATCATAAACTTTTTCTTAGGTTTAGCCCTGTCTTTTGTTGAGAATTTTGTCTCTAGTGATTTTGAAATCTAAAGGATGTCAGTTTTTAGTTAAAAATCTTATTTCTTCAAGTAAAGGATTTTCTTTCAAATCTACCTTAAGTTTTATGTTTATTTCACCTGAGCAGAATTTATTCATCTATTTTAGAGATATGAAGGCATAATTAGCAGCTTCTTCATCTGCACTCTACTGGAAATATCAAAAAAATATGAAATAGCTACTGTGTTTTTATTGTCAGGCTATTAAGGAGTGCTGGCCCACATACAGGACCATTGGTCCACCTCAGCTAGGCTGATGCTAATTGCACACTGTAACAGGGTCCCAGACTTTAGCACAGCTGACTCCATGATGTAAGTATCATTCAGGCTATAAAACTCAGCACGTAGTCAGTATCATCTGCCAAAATAAAAACAAAGGTCTAAACCACCAAAGTCCATAGTTCTGCAAAAGTCTTTAAAGTACTAACCTTTTTGGCTTAGGTAGTTCTGCTTTTGCTTTTGGTGGTGGTGAAATCACTGCTGGACAGAACAGCTTTTCCCTTCTGTCCAACAACAACCAAGGAGAATTTAAACAATTTTCACTAGTCCTTTTTAGAAGATTAAATACAGCTACTAAAAAAATTTCCTTTGTCACCCAGTAGGCCCCAGGTATTAGAAAAAAGTTGTAAAATTTTAAAAAGTTAAAGTTGTAAGTAGGTTCCAGTTGCTGGAGGTAGCTCAAAAGGTGTTTAATAGCAAAGAGTTGATTAGGACAACAGCTTTTGCAGAACACCATCACCTCTGACGATGGCATGCAGTTAGACTTACAGATACCCAGCAACATTTTGGTGTTTGTCTTGCCCTCTGTTGAAAGAATATCTCCTAACTGAAAGTCCTACCCAAAATCAAAAGATACAGTGGAATTCTCAGATTGACAACAAAGATTCCCAGTGCTATGGGCAGAGACAAACCCCTAGGACTAGCTAAACACCGAGTTTCTATAATTGTTCAACTAACCAGTTCAGTTACCCCCACCAAGATTAAACAAAAGGAAAACTGCAGTCAATATTGCACAACTAAGACAGGCATCCTGGTGCCCTGCCGCTACCCTGGAATACTCCTCTCCCGCCTGTGAAGAAACCTGGGACCTCTGATTTTCATGAGCCTGATTCTTCCCGAAAAAGAGGTGTACACTTCTTGGATCTGAAAGATGCATTCTTCAGCCTTCCATTGGCAGAGGCGAGTCAACCCATCTTTGTTTTTAAAAGGATAGACCCAGAGAGAGGTTATAGTGGGCAATTTACATGGACCATGTTGCCCCAGATATTTAAAAATTCTCCAACCCTGTTTGATAAGGCACTAAATGCTGATCTTCTGCCCTTCAACCAGAGGTTTCCCGGATAAATACATTATAAAAGGTCACTGAAGGACTGCTGTAAGAGTTACAGACCCTGGGCTGTAAAAATTTCAGCTAAGAAAGCCCAACTTTGTCCATCAGAGGCTCCCTATCTTGGCTACCAGCTGAGAGGAGTCAAAGGGAGCCTGTCTCAGAGTAGGCCTGCTGCCATCCTTCAGATCCCAACTCCAAAGACTTAAGAGGCAGGTTTGAGAGGTCCTGGTGTAGCTAGGTATTGTTTCGTCTGGATACCAGACTTTGCAGAATAGTAGGCCTCTATACACCAGCACAAAGCAGGGCACTGAATCCCTCCTCTGGACTGAATCTAAACAAAAGGCATATGAGGCTTTAAAAACAGCTCTGGCTTCAGCTTCAGACCTAGCACTTCCAGATGCTTCAAAGCTTTTTCATCTATTTGTCCATGAAAGAAAAGACATTGCAAAAGGGGTTTTAACACACACTTTGGGGTTGTGGAAACATCCTGTGACATATCTGTTCAAATAATTGGACCCTGTAGCCACAGGATGGCCCACCTATCTAAGAGCTTATGAAAACAAACAATGACAACAACAACAACAAAAAGTTAACTCTGGGCCAACTTATACTCACAGACCTCATGCCATTGAGGCACTGCTCCAAGGAACACCAGAACACTGGCTGTGTAATGCCAGTGTGACCCAGTACCAGGCCCTACTCCTGGACCACCTTTAAGTCTAGTTTGAAAATCTACCACAATCAATCCTGCTATCTTTTTGCCTGATGTTGACCTACAAGTGCTCACCCATGACTGTAATGAAATGAAAGATAAAGTCAGGAGCTATAGTAGTTACTTTAACTGAAACAATTTGGGCCCAAGCCAGGTACCTCAGCCTAGAGCCCAGAACTGATCGATCTGACCCAGGCTCCCAGGAGCCCACCACCATACACAGGGACAGTCACCATGTTTTTTACTACTGTGCATATCCACAGTATGATCAATAGGGAAAGAGGGCTTCTCCCCACTGGGGGAAAGGATATTAAAAACAAGGAGAAAATCTTGGCCCTCCTAGAGGCTATTTGCACCCCCTTTGCAAATTGCTACCCTCCACTGCTCCACTTCAAAGACATCAAAAAGATGACTCCCCTGAGGCAAGAGGTAACAGGGCCACTGACATGGCTGCCTGACAAAAGGCCCTAAGACCAGTGGGAGCCTACTGATATTCTGATGACATACCCCAGCCTGGTGCAGCCTGAGACTCCATGGTACAACCAGAAGAAGGAATGGACAGCTCAAGCCCACAGGTTAGTGGGGGACATCAGAGCATTCTCCCAGAAACAACTGACAGGACTCTGGTAACTGACCTTCACCAGCCTACTCCTCTGGGGTCCACAAAACTTTCTGCGTGGCTCAAACCAAGGTATGTTATACCTAGACTAGTGGGCGATACCTCAGCCAGATGCCAGGTGTGTGCTCAAGTGAATCCCAAGAAGAGAGCCCTTACCTAGGAAGAGGTCCACATGAGAGACCAACGCCACAATGAACTTTGGGAAAACTGACTTCATTGAGATCTGGTCTGGCAGGGGAAGGTAAAAGTACTTTCTCATTTTTATAAATGCTTTTTCTGTATGGGTAGAAGCTTTTCCCACTTAGATTGAAACTGCTCAAATAGTAGCTCGGGAGGTAGAGGCAGGTGGATCTCTGAGAATTCGAGCCCAGCCTGGTCTACAAAGTGAGTTCCAGGACAGCCAGGGAAGTTGCACAGAGAAACTTTGTCTTGAAAAACCAAGAGAGAGAGAGACAGAGAGACACACAGAGAGAGACAGAGAGAGAAAGGAAAAAAGCTCTGCCAGGACTCCCCCTAGCAATGGGAACAATGGCCTGGCTTTCATAGCCTAAACCTCTTAATTAATAGCCAAAGCTTTATACATAGATTGAAAACTTCATTATGCATATAGGCCTCAGAATTCTGGGCAGGTAAAAAACAAAAGAACACCACAAAAAAAAATAGGACATTAAAAACAAAACTCTGATTGGAGTCTAGTGAAGGGTGAATAGACCTCCTTCCTGTGCTGTGCTTTGGGTCCGCTGCACCCCAAACAGGGAGGGATTTATTCTCTATGTATGAGATTGTGTTTGAAGACCTACCCCACTGCTTCCCAGGTCCAGACTAGCAGTTGGAAGAACTCTAAACATTCCTTTTTCAAGTCACTACGGGCACTCCAGTTCATTGGACTATCTGAGAGACCCCGTCCACCTCCAATCCTGCCACTAGTTCCCCCTGTTTGAGTCCAGTGATACCATCTGGGTGAAGTGGGTAGCCAAAGGGGCACTGGGACCAATTTGAAAAGGACTCTACACAGGGATTCTCCCCACTCGTATGGCTGTGAAGATAGCTGGCATTACATCATGGATCCACTACATCTAGGTCAAGAAAGGGGACACTGCCGCCAAATGTACTGTTTCCCTGACTATGGACCCATTAAGATCAAGATTGCATCAGGCACCTGGCCTTTCCATTCCCTGCCCCTCTACCTCCTGAGACTTGTGTTTGGTATGAATTATGGTCTAACCCCCACTACCCTCAGGTCTGGACCTGGGAACTAAGGAAGACTGATATAGGGAAAGTATTAGCTAGTGTGACTATAGATTAACAACCCATATTCATCTGGACCTTTATTCACTGCTGCCCACTTTAAATGTCTGGCTGTCCTGGAGAAAGGAACAATATGGGAGTTAATCTTCTTGAAATAAGAATACGAAGTTTATAATTCTATGCATGCCCTGTGGCTGGCCCCCCATAGTTGCCAGGAACAAGGGAGTTTCGGAGTTGTGAAATGGAGGCTTCCTAGAAAATTCCTTAATTTTTTTTTCTGGCCTTTGAGAAACAGGGAAACCTGGGGAATCAGACTCTATGACATGGGAAGGGACCCTAGGGATAAGTTTACTGGAAATTGCTCCCCAGCCAGGAACCCAGACCTTGGCTCCTGAGCACACCCAGGGCCAGAGTTCCACCTTGTGATGTTCAGGAAGCTGAGGGGCCCCCATCCTTATTTTCCACTCTTGACAAAGTCCACCATGTAGTTAATAATTCCCAGCCATAAATTGGCCAGGAATGCTGATTTTGGTTAGACCCATGGCCCCCATACTAACTAGGGATAGGAACTAGAAAACTGTCAGCCCATTAACTTATAACACTCATCGTGACTTGGGATAGGACAGCCCAAATTAACTTGCCTAATATCCATAGCTTTCATTTAGACACCTCTCCTTATTCTGATATCTGCAATTCACCTTATGGTTAATTCATCTGGGTTACAGCAATATTACTGAGCAC